GGACATACCAACAACTCCAAACGGCAACAACCTAACCATCAATTAGTAGTGTCTCTTTTTGCCACCCCACAACTCCAACACACCAAGAAACTAAAAAGAATTATCGGGAATCAATTTTTTGAAGTAATTAATTATGGGAAAAGGTATAAATTGAAGTCATATATTTTGGTTAACATATTGAATCGATTAAAGTTTGAAATTTTGGTAGTTAAATAGTCATCCAAAAGAGTACCTAAGTTTGTCAAATTTAATACAAAACACAATGGTGACGGCCACAACCACCCGTGTTATAATCCTAACATTTCACTATTTGATCTATAAACTTGTTTGATTCAATTATCCAAACTCATCTTAAATTTCTATTTTAATACCTCTATAACAAAACCATAAGCGACAACTGTCCCCTTTGGCTTTTGTTCAAGTAATCAAATCAACCATATACATGTAAGTCGATCCCGTAAATGGACTTTTTATATTTTTTTTTCTGATGACTTCTCTGAACCAATAGAATGTGCTAATGACTAATGTTTATTACCTTGATTTTTTTTGAAAAATATAATGAAATTTAATATTCTCTGTCAAACCTACCATAAGAGTTATTATAATTATTTTGACGAGGTACCTGAGATACAATGGGTTTCCAAGTTGGCCACTACTCCTAACACACCAATCAAAAGATCATAAAAAAAAAAAAAAAAAAAAAAATCCATTAAATCCCACCAACTATTAGAAACTTTAAGTATGGGAGAAAACGCTACATATATAGAAGCTGGAAATTGCGTAGGAAAGAAAAAGATTTCCCAAACGGGAATCAAGGTTAACTGCAATGGTGGCGAGAAACCAACATTTGGTTCCCATAACATGGGGATCATCAACAAAGTTCAGTATACTTCAGGTTTTTGTTGCACTTCTTTTTGCTGTGTTTTTCATCGGAGCAGTTTATATGGCGGGAGAGTACGTCACATTTAACATGATTCCGGCGTCAGTTGATGATATGTTTTCAGGCGATTCATTGTCAGAGTGCAATTTATTTTCTGGGAAATGGGTGTTTGATAACACGTCTTACCCTCTTTACAAAGAGAAAGAATGCAAATTCATGTCGGATCAATTGGCCTGCAACAAGTTTGGAAGGGAGGATTTGAGCTATCAGAACTGGAGATGGCAACCTCACCATTGTGACCTTCCAAGGTCCTCTCTCTCTCTCTCTCTCTCTCTCTCTCTCTCTCTCTCTCTCTTCAAATAATCTAGGAGGCTAGTTTAGTAAATCGGGTACAGATTTTTACATTGAGTTCATATAAATTTTTTAAAGATCTTTCTAATTTACTACAAAAGATGGAAGGGGAACACACTTCCATGCTAGCCTCACTAACTCTGTCACTGGAGTTCAATTCGAAATTGGTCAAATAGTTGAAATTTAAAGTTGTTGCGTTGAACTCTTTTGCTGTCGGATTAATAAAAATGCTTCATCGATAAACACAAGGTAGAATCTTTTCACCTTTAGTTTATTAGTCTTCAAATGTGTCCTGTTTTCACTGTAGAAGTGAGGTTAATTAACGCCAAAGTTAGATCAATTCTTTCTTTTGTAAATTATTATTTATTTCAAAGTAGATATTATGGTCACCGCAGGTTGAGACTTTGAATTCATGAAACAAGATATGGTTCAAGCAGGTAAGTAAACAGTATAGAACATTAATGTAAATAGTGAGCGTATATCAGCTGTTCCATGTTCAAGTACGGTCTAAAATAGTTTGATATGATCTTTCTAACTTTTTCTCGCTCTAGAAGCTGCAACGTGTTGATTTTGATGTTTTCATGTAAGGTTCAATGCAACAAGATTGTTGGAGAGGCTAAGGAATAAGAGGATGGTGTTTGTAGGGGATTCTTTAAATAGAGGCCAATGGGTTTCAATGGTTTGCCTTTTAGATTCATCCATCCAGGATCCAAACCTCAAATTCATGAACTACAATGGTTCTAATTTAATCTCCTTCAAAGCCGTGGTACGTAAGAAATTTAACATTATCTTTTTATATATTGCACTCGTCCAAAAAAGCTTTGCATGCACGTTGAATCATAATCAATATTATTCGTGTTTATTGATGATAAAGGAATGCCTCGGGTGAGAGGTTTGGGAAATCAAGCTAACATTTCTAACGTCTATTAACATTTACTTTCAGGAGGCTATTTTTTTTTTGAAAGGCATAATTAATTAAAATTTGTGTAGTTACTCATGTATATTAGTTCTAAAAATTGTCAATATTCCTTAATTTTGTGTGAATATTGTATGAAATGAAGGGGTACAATGCATCGATCGAGTTCTATTGGGCACCATTGTTAGTCGAGTCTAACTCGGATGATCCAGTGAACCATAAGCTACCAGAAAGGATTGTTCGATCTCAATCTATTGAAAAACATGCTAGGTTTTGGACTGATGCTGATATACTGGTATTCAATTCCTATCTTTGGTGGAGAAGACCCCATATCAAAGTCTTGTAAGTTATTAGTCAATCTAGAAATTAATTCTAGGTCTATTAAATAGTTACTTTACATAAAGTCTTCAAGGTTGGAGAAAGAATAATAAGTTGTTCTTTAATTTACATACAATTAATTTATATGTAGCTAACATATGTAACGTAAAGGCTGGATTTGAAATTTAATGTTTAATAGGTGGGGTTCGTTTGAAGATAAAAATGGGATATATAAGGAAGTGGAAATGCTTCGTAGCTATGAAATGGCTTTAAAGACATGGTCGGATTGGTTGGAGATTCAAGTTGATCGAGCCAAGACTCAGTTGTTCTTTATTAGCATGTCACCTACTCATGAAAGGTAACAATTTAATCCAATTTTGTTCAACCTTTACCATCATTATATGTCATATACATATATTACGCCACTGGTCCTGTGGTTCAACTATTTTAATCCAAAGAAACGTAAGGAGATGGAATCGGATACATTAGATATATATTTAACATGAATATATA